AATCTTTGAAATAAATAAATAAGTTTGCCTTAGGGTTGCCATAAGTTGGAAATTACTTGAAGACACACAACAAATCCAGTATTGCTTGGGCAGCAGATCTCCAAGATGCCACACTGAGAGATCTTGAAGAAAATCTTTCTCACTCTTACTATCCATTTGGAATCATTTTAGCTAGAGATGACAGGGTTTCTGCATTGGTTCTTCTCCATTACAATAGTGTCATCTACTCTGAGTTATGCCCCCTTACATTGTTCTTAGCAGAAAATCACAATATTGTGCTATTATAGTATCCTTCTTGTAAGGCCTAGGCCATATAATCAATGAGATTCCAAGATGTGCCTCTCTAGTAAGTGCTCACCATTTAAAGAATGAATTGAGAAAAATCTTTGCTTGCAGTCTCAGAGACAAAGTAGAAAACACTGAAAGAACTAGATAAACTAGTGCTTTCCATAGTGGTAGAATTCAAAGATATAGCTATAGAATCCATAGTCTGTAGAATCAGTATGTAAAAGGATCTTGTAGCACCTTTGAGACTACTGAAAGAAAGAAGTTGGCAGCATGAGCTTTCACAGACTAAACAAAGTCTACTTCTTAGTCTACGAAAGTTCATGCTGCCAACTTCTCTCTTTCAGTTAGTGGGGTTGCAGACTGTCAGAAATAGTGCAAATTGAATCCATTTTTAGGGTTAGGGCTAGTGCAAGGGAATCATGGGAATTGTTTTTTTTTTTCTGAGACATTGAGCCTTCTCTGTCAGAGAGCTCTGGTGCCACAATAAACTACAGTTCCCATGATTCCTTAACTCTAAAAGTGGACTCAATTTGCACTATTTCTGGCAGTCTGCAACCCCTATTTGCTTCAAAGGTGCTACAAGATCTCTCCAGGGGTCCCCAAACTTTTTGATCTGGGGGCCGGGTGCATACCCACAACTTCAGACGCCATTTTGGAAGACAAAATGGTCTTTGGCGGTGCATGCGAGCGGCGGTGGCAGGACTGTCTGTGGGCCAGTAAGAAGGCCTCAACAAGCCGGGTCCGGCCCGCAGGCTGTAGTTTGCTATATATAAATAAACTAATATTCTCAGACAGTACACCAAGTATGCTCAAATGGAGAGCAGTCATCTGCCTAACAAAACTCATTTGAGAAATCCTGATGCAAAGAATCCCTTATCCATTGCAACACTATTTAAACAGAAAACTCAAGAATACATGAACAGTAGAATAATCCTTTAATGTGGTCATATCCAAGTGGTTGCCATTAACATGCCAGGCTGCAAAATGTCACACTCACTTTTCATGACACTTCCAACCACTTGTTACTTATTCTACTATCTAGTACATAGTACCGGTATATGTGTGTGTGTGTGTAATATATAGTATGTATGTATATATATATATGTGTGTGTGTGTGTGTGTGTGTGTGTGTGTGTGTGTGTATATATATATATATATACACACACACATACACACACACACACATTATGTATATATATTATATATACATACTATATTCTCTATATTATATATAATAACTACATATTAGTTACTACATGCTCCATTTATCTGTTTAAAAGCTGTCCACAAGAAATCATCTAGTCCATCTGTCTCCAACAATAGCAAACCAGATTTCTTCTCACAATTGTGGTTTGTCAAAATGCATTAAGTAATGGCAACAAGACATTAATTACATGAGAAAATATTAAACATAACAAAACCCTGTTCCACAATAAATTACATTTCCAACATAGGCAGATATAACTTAAGACAAAATCAACACAACATTTTAAAAACACATATATTAAGATAAAGATTTTTCTCATCCCCTCAATAGAAAACATTATGTTCAATTTCAGCTTTTTTGTCATTAAAATTAAATACGAAATTGGTTCTAGGAGAGTTTTTGTTCAGTTGTCTGATGGTACTTTTTTGTCCTTGGGTGATCAGTTTCTTTTCAGCTGTCAGGTTAAATGCAAGCCCAAGCAATTATTATGAGCCTGAGTATCTGAGTTAGATAAGGATACTTATGTAAATGATGGTGTTAATTAAGTGCTGCCCTCAGCATTCTGGCAAGGGGCTAATGCAGCCTTTTGTTGTGCAAAATTTAGCCCCCAAAGCTATTCTTTCTGTGCCCAACTTAACCTCAAGGAGCAAGATCTTTTCGGATTGGCTGCAGCCTGCACACATGGCTGGCTGCACCATAGCAGGATGGCATCAGCAAATAAGGCTTGGTGATCAGTGACTGAGCAGATGCTGTATTGTAATTAGAAGGTGAAATGGCAATAAAAATCTAGACATGAGCAAAATCTACATACCTTAGAGGGGTCAGTATAATGTGTTCTGTGCCAGCTCAGCAAGTTGATGCTTTCCCAAGTAGCTGCCACATTACACACAGTTCTCTAAGAAATGGATTTAAAATAATTATGAAGTGACTCCCCCAAAAGCTCATGGTCTAATATCCATTGTGCTGGCTGTAATCCTACAATGGGACAGTTTTCATACAGACTTTTAATTTTTTTTAAAAAAGGGATAAAGGTCAATAATATCTTGACATTTTGTGTGTGTTTTGTCATTCCATCTCCCCCATAAAGATGTGAAGGCGACTGTCCTCCCCAGTGCAAGCATTCTCATGTCTTTGCTTTTTGTAGATACAGAGACAGAAGGAGTAGGTAATTCCCTTTCCCTTAAAAAATAGTAACTCCCTGTTGTAGCGGAATGATAGCATTGCCAGTATCATAATAATATATTATTTTGGTAGTAATCTAATTTTTAAGTAATAGAAATAGGGCAATCATGCATGAATTTCTGCTTTACTCAGCAACCTGACTACCTAGACCAGGACAGGCAACCTTTTTGAGACCTGGGCCGGTGTCCCGTAGCCCAGGT